CTCCCACCCCTGATCAGGGCTTCAGATTTAAACATGAATGCATGGAGAACAATTCTGTCCCGTTAGGTTAGATGATTTATTTAGTTTCATGTCCAGATGAAGACTTTTCCACATCTGTACAGAGAAGGAAGCAGCGTCACACCAAATGTTCTGGTTTACAGAAGAACATCTTAAAGTGTGGCATACATTTACATTCACTGTCTGGGTCGGTACCTTATGGAACCACCTGCCACTGTGGTTCTAGTCTTTCAGGTTCCATTCTCTTCTCCTTTACGCACTACTCTCAGTCAGTTATTTTTCATTTACAGTAGTCCCTCGTTTATTGTGGGTGTTAGGGACCACGCCCCCGTGATAAGTGAAAAACCACCATGTAGGGACACAGTAGTCCAAGTTCAAGTTCAGTTCCAGTTCAGTAAAGTTTGTCATGAGTCAGGCTGCAATCACTCATCACCTGTCAGTCCCAACCTCCCTCCTTAAATAAACAATTGATTATTTAAAATGTTACAGTATTTAAATTTAAATTGTAGAGAAGAGAAGTGCAGCAGGACGTCACAGGATGTCACGCAGCTTCAGCTCTGCAGCACGGAGCACAAATGTTCTTGATCAATGACACTGACTGGATTTATTTTAGAAAACTGAGAAATAAATTTACCTCTCTTCTTCGAAATACAAAGGCCGACTTTTATTTGTCTATGACTAGCGAAAGTCTGAAAAATCCCCCAAAGTTTCTGGAAAACAATCAAATCTTTGTTGTCAACCTCTAACTCAGTTTATTTCCCTTCTAGTATGTTGATTGATGGTAGCAGGATAACCGATAAATTAAGTATTCTAAATAATTTTAACAATCATTTTATTTCCTCTGGGTTTTTGTTTAACTCTAACAACCCATCCAAACAGCCTCTGCTTTCTGAAAAGTCCTCAAATGTTTCACCACTGGCTGATGGAGCCCGAGGCAATGTTCAAGCTTTTAACGTAACACCTTTCTCAATAACAGAGGTTGTTAAAGCTTTAATAAAAACCTTGATCCCAAAAAACCCCAGGTCCAGATAAATTGGAACCTATGTTTTTAAAATTGGCATCTGAAATTGTAGCTGCTCCACTGTGTCACATTTTTAATCTCATTGTTTTGACCAATGTAATTCCCAAAGTTTGGAAATCTGCATTTGTTATTCCCCTATTGAAAGGAGGAGATCCAGAATTTTGAATAATTATAGACCCGTTTCTAAATTATCTGTGCTTGCAAAAGTCTTTGAGTCTCTTGTTAGTGAACAAGTAAAAGAAAATCTGGCCACTAATTCCATTCTTTTGATTTCTCAATCAGGATTTTGTAATAAACATAGTACTACCTCTGCAGCATTAAAGGTTATAAATGATATAACAGAAGCTCTAGATAAAATCAGTGTTGTCTTTCACTATTTATAGATTTCTCTAAGGCCTTTGATACCGTGGATCACTTCATTCTGCTTAGCCGTCTAACAACAGTTGGGTTTTCTATACAGTTGGATGGTTTGCAAACTATCTTAAATATAGAACCCAGGCTGTCCAGTTAGATGGTTTTTGTTCTGGAGTTCAGTTTATTCACAAGGGGGTACCACAAGGTTCTGTACTGGGCCCTTTGTTATTTATCTTGTATATTAATGATTTTGGAAAGGATATTTCAAATGCAGCAATTCATTTTTATGCAGATGACACAGTCATTTATTGCTTTGCACCTACGCCCACAGAAGTGTTTGCATACATGTAGAATGCATTTAACAGGATACAACAACTTTGTCAGCTTCAACTTGTTTTGAATGTTGACAAAACTAAGCTGTTTTTCAGGAACTTGACATCAGCAAGGTCAAACCAGTCTCTCATCACCACTAGTGATGGTCAACAAATTGAACTTGTATCTTCATTCAAATATCTGGGATTTTTAATTGATGACACGTTGTCTTTTAAAGCTCATATTCAGTTTACTGTAAATAAACTGAAGCTTTTACTTGATTTTATTTTCGGAATAAATCCTGATTTTCTTTTAGGGTAAAACAGAAATGGGTGGAGTCTACTTTTCTTCTGATTATTGACTATGGTGATGTATTATACATGAACGCCTCTGCTCAGTATCTTCACACGCTGGACAGCGTGTATCATGGTGCTTTGCGGTTTATTATAAATTATGGAGCCCTAACTCATCACGGTCTCTTGTATGATGAGGTCAAATGGCCATCTCATACATCGGCTTGGCCATTGGTATGTTTTGGTTTACAAGGCTATTCTTAAGTTGACAGCACCTTATCGTTCATCTTTGTTAACTTTAAACAACACGACCTACAGCCTCCGGTCTCAAGACTTTTTAAATTTTACTTTATTTTAATCCTCGTGTCAGAACAGAAAGGGAAAAGAAAGCCTTCAGCCTTTCTGCCTCATGGAGCAGTTTACAATCACAGCTTAAACTTGGAACACTAGTATCTCTGAATGTATTTAATACCATGATAGATCCCTTTACACTCAAGTTGCAGAAGTGTAATTGTTTTAACCGAGTCGTTTGTTTTATTGTAATTCTGTTTATTGTGACTGTTTGAGTGTTTTTCCCTCATGCTTTTGATCTCAGTGAACGAACCTGGTTAAATAAAGGTTATTATTATTATTATGGAAAACATTTAAGTAGAAAAATCAAAGAAAATGATGAATTTTCAGTTAATAAAGTAGCGTCACATGCAGCATGGTGGATCAGTGGGTAGAGCTGCCGCCCCTCAAAGAGAAGGTTGCCAGATCAAAACCCAGAAGAGACCTTTCTGGGTGGAGTTTGCATGTTCTCTCTGTGCTGCATGAGTTTCCTCCCACTGACCAAACACATGCAGGTTAGACTGAGTGCTGACTAAAGTGTCCCTGGGATGGACTTACACATGTCCAGCTGTCCCTGGGATGGACTTACACATGTCCAGGTGTCCCTGGGATGGAC